GTGGATTGGTGGGAAGTACTATTTGTTCTCTAATTGTTTAGTCTATGTTAGGAATCGATGTGTTCTTGTATTACAGACAATGATGTAACCTATTATCTAATGAATAAAAGTAATGTTTGTGTTATATGTTTTGTGTATTGTTCATTGTATTCAATAAGTGTGTACCACATCAAATGTCGCACAGCCCGACGTTTTCGCCGTCGAACGGGGGTGTGATAAATATCTTTTCCCACTTCCACTCGGGTATCTCTGGTTGTTGTAAGAATCCTGAGGGCTTTTGATATTCTGCTTTGACTTTAGAACAAGTCAAGCATTTTCCCACATAAGTGGCAATTTCAGCCTTCATGTTTGGCCACCAATACAGTTTCTTCAGATCCAGATACATCCTCTCAGAGTCAGGATATACATAATACTTTGATCTATGAGCTTCATCCATGACTAAGGTTCTGACGTCATCGAACTTTTACGTCTAAATTCGGTTCATGAAGTATCGTGTTTCGTCATCCCTAAGCTCGAACTGTTTATCCATTCATCTCAAGGATATGCTTGCAACATTTTCTTCTTATAGAGCCTAAAATTGAGCATCTCATATTTGAGTAGTGAGGTTTGACCGGATGGTCATTGTTAGCGTATGTACTCTGCGAGGTTTTTTGCGTTCCTTTTTGCTCAAGGCGTGTGCTACTGTAACATCCCAAAAATATGACCAAAAATTTCATTTTTGATATAACAACTCTTAAAAACAATTTAAAGAAAACATCATCAAGTTATTTCATTTCATCAAAGCCATAGATAATATGTCTCAAAAGCATGCCATAATATAGTAACAATGTCAAAGTACAATCCCAAGAACATCATAGTGTGGAAAATAGTGGTGTGATGCGCTGCTACCGTGCCAGCTCCTTTCCCTTTGCAGAAGAAGGACCTGAAACAAAAACTATAAACCGTAAGCACAAAGCTTAGTGAGTTCCACCATCATACCACATATCATAAAATAAACATACTGCCAGACATATATGGGTGCCCGACCTACCCTGCTGAGCATACCGGGGTGCTCAACCTACCCCTGCTAGGCATACCAGGGTGCCTAACCTACCCCTGTCAGACATACCGGGGTGTCCGCCCTAACCCTCCGATTTATCTCAACCGGTTTAGGGGACTATTTCACCCCTACTACTACCACATAACCATATATCATAAACATACTGTCAGGCATACCGGGGTGCCCAACCTACCCCTTCGGTCCTTTCGACCGGGTACGGGGACTATTCCCCCTGCTACCACTATCACATGACATCATACCATACTAGCACATAAAACATAACAGATAGTGGCATACCAGACAATTATCACTTAGACAATCATCTAACAAGCAAATCCTACTAGTGGGCCGACATTGTGGCCTTAGACCCACTTCTATTGGAAGGTAACTCACCTCGAGTGTCATGTAGTAGTTGTACTGTCCTCGGCTTTGGGATCAGCTCCTCTAAAACTCCTACACATTACAATATCCTTTAATTAAGCTATCATCCTCATAACCCCTTTAATGGTCAATTCTGGTCGATGGTCAAAGTCAAAGTCAACATCCTGGTCAGAGCCAACTTCCTGGTTGACTTAACTCACCGAGTTGGTCAATCAACTCGTCGAGTTCCGTAATCCATAAAACTCTGAAATCTCGATCCTACTTGTCGAGTCCTTTCATGAACTCGTCGATTTCTTCCTTATCATGTAGTCGGGACCTTTTACTCATAACTCGTCGAGTTCCTCCTTGAACTCGTCGAGTTATTCTTCATACAGAGTCGGGATATTTGTTCATAGCTCGCCGAGTCCCTCCACAGACTCATCAAGTTCTTTAATCTTCGAGCCCAAAACATGTCCAACTTGCTGAGTCATCTCCTAGACTCAGTGAGTTTACTCAGTACAGAAAAGTTTGGGGGACCACGACCCAACTCGCCGAGTTGTATGAGTAACTTGTCGAGTCCCCCATGTTCTAAATCCATACAGTCGATTGTAGTCGGGCTTAATGCATCGAAAACGTAAATCTGGTCTCCTAGGGTCGATATATCACATAAAGTTTCGAACTTTACGTTCATGCATGGGTTATTTAGCTCAAAAATCCTTAAAAAGTGATTCATATGATGCATGGTACTCCCATGGCCATAAAGTTGGCACCTTTATGTCATGGAGTCCCTCAAAGATTCTGGATCTAAAGCTATTACCCCAAAACATGCTTGCATCCATGAATGGTCCCATAATATGCTCCATATGGCCCTAAACTACCCCATGAAGAGATCTAGTAAACAAATAGACAAGGTATAGACTTTATACCCCAAATGAACTGGAAATGAAGTTCTTCTTCTGGATCCAAAGCTCCTTCCTTCAACCAGCACTTCTAGCTTCCACTCCTTCAAGAAAATACCAAAGAATCACCCATTTATCACTCACACACACTCACAAAGCTCAAGATCTTGAATTAGGGTTTTCTGGACTAAGGGATGCGATGAGGAAGGCCACAATGGGGGTGTTAAGGTCTTTAAATAGGGTGCAAACCCTGAAAATTAGGGTTTCACTCTGGTAGCTCTACTCGTCGATTCGAGCCTTCTCGACTCGTCGAGTAAACTTCAAGTCCCGCGTCCAAAAAATCCCATTCCTACTCGACGAGTTTGGGGACTCCAACTCATCGAGTCCCTTTGCAAAAGTGGATAATTCTTTATTGAAATACATACCAGGAACCGAACGTTACAGCTACTACATTTTCCTTGCCAGGATAATAATGAATTTTACATTTGTAGTCATTTAGCAACTCAACCCATATTTATTGCCTCACTTTGAGTTCTTTTTTTTTATCAAAGATGTGCTGGAGACTCTTGTAATTTGTAAGATGGTGTACTTCGTACCGTAAAGGTAGTGCCTCCAATTATTTAAGGCAAAGACTATAGCTCCCAGTTTGAGGTCATGTGTAGTGTAGTTTTTATCATGCACCTTGAGTTGTTGAGAAGCATAAGCAATGGCCTTGTCTCTTTGCATTAATACACATCTCAATCCTTGATATGGCGCATCGCCATATATGACGAAGTCCTTTATTCCCTCTGGAAAGGATAAGATTGGTGCACTACATAGCATCTGTTTCAACTTCTGAAATGCAGACTCTTGGTTATCTTTCTAGAAAAACTTCTTATCTTTCTGTGTTAATGCTATGAAGGATTTGTCTATTTTGGAGAAGTTCTCTATGAATCTTCGATAATGGCCTTCACGGTCAAAGAATTGACGCATTTTTGTCGGTGTCTTTGGTGTTTCCCAATTCTTAATTGCTTCTGTTTTTGAAGGATCAGTGTGAATCCTTTTGTTGCTGACCACATGCCCTAGAAAGTGCGCTTCTCTAATCCAGAATTCGCATTTAGAGGATTTGGCGTATAACTTTTCTTTCTGTAGCAGTTCCAGGATTAGTTGCAAGTGTTGACCATGTTCCTCCTTGTTCTATGAGTATATAAATATGTTATCGATAAATACGATCATAAATTTATCCAAGTATGGTTTGCATACACGGTACATGAGATACATGAAAACTGCTAGCACATTGCTCAGTCCGAAAGGTGTAACCAGGAACTCATAGTGACCATAGCGGGTCTTGAATGCCGTCTTTTATTATATCTTGCTCTTGGAGTTGAAGTTGATGGTAACCTGCTATTGGTTCGATCTTCGAGTAGTAGCTAAATCCTTGCAGTTGGTCGAACAGGTCATCGATTCTTGGGAATAGGTATCAGTTTTTTATGGTTAGCTTGTTTAGCTCCCGAAAATCAATAGATATTCGGAAAGATCCGTCCTTGTTCTTGACAAATAACACCAGTGCTCCCCTAGGTGAGAAGCTTGTTATGATAGAGCCTTTGTGAAGAAGTTCTTGTAGTTGGCTTGATAGCTGTTGCATTTCGGATGGTGCCAATCGGTAAGGAGACTTGACTATTGGTGCTGCTCCTGGGATCAAGTCGATTCGAAACTCAACTTGTTTGACGGGAGGTCATCATGGTAGATCTTCTGGGAATAGATTAGGATAGTTGCACACTTGCGGTATGTCTTTGATCCCTTTTTCTTTTCTCTTTTTCTCTATGACGTGCGTCAGGAAAGCGTAGTACTTCTTGTGTAGATACTTCTGAGCTTTTATGCAATAGATGATTTTAAGGTTATGCCCTGATTTGTTTCTGTAAATGATTAGGTTTCTATGTTGGGTAGGGGGAGTCGTATGACTTTTCCGTAACATGTGATCTCGACATGGCGAGGAGACAACCAACCCATGCTGATTATTATGTCGAAGCTTCCGATAGTCATAAGAATAAGATTAACGTGGAATGTATGATTATTTAGAGTTAGTATGCAATTTTCTAATACTTCCTGTGTGCTTTCGGACTGGCCGATAGTCATTTCTACCTCATACGTTTCATTAAGTCTAATGGATTTATCACTTAGAAGTTGTCAAACTTAGGGTTTATAAAGCTCTTATCAGCAGCCAGAGTTAAAAATTATATTTACATACAAGTTGTTAACAAGAAACGTACCGGTCACCACAGATGGATCTGGAGTGCATCTCTCTCTCATGATAAGCTTATGTGGAAGATTTTGTCATGTTATTACGATGACACGATTTTCTCATGCCTTAGATGTGCAAGAACATTAATCATGCCATTTTCTTGGGAAATTGGAAAACTGGAAAGACATGTAACATTGCAATCATTATTATTATTATTATAGATATTAATTGAGGACATGGTTTATAAACAGTCCTAGTTTTGAGTCGGCCCCAATACCGCCTGTTTTGGAGCCGATAACTCCCTGGTAGCCGACTGTCTCCCGTATGCTACCTTGGTATCTTCAACACACGTGTTTGGCTCTCCGATCGGATGTTTATCCGCTTTAATTCGAATGACCATGGATTGCTTCATAGATTGAACCCTCAAATTTGCGTCGTCGCTTTCCGTTCTCCTAAATTAGGAATGGGTATAGATTGCTTTACATATCGATTCTTTGAATTTGTGTCGTCTCTGATTATGGAAGGTAAATGGACCTTTTCTTTTTCCATTTATGCTTCTTGGTGCTTTACTATTGAGATCTTCTTCTCCTAACACATTTGGAGGGCCTGATTTGGCATTTGGACTAGGAAGGTATTATATATTAATCAAGTAACTTACATTTCTAGATGCTTGATTTTGAGTTTATTGATCATAAAAGTTTTTTGATTAATAGGAGCGAAACAAATTTCCATATGGAACCCAACAGAGGCATAACATTGGATGATGTGGTAGGCGTTAATGAAGCAAAACACATATCCAGTAGGTTGTTGATGTCACAATCTTTAGGTCATTTTCAATCCTTATGCTTTTAATTTAACCAGATTACAAGAATCAGTGAATCTTTTGATATTCTAGATTTTGACTTTCAGTTTATGATTTTGAAGGTGTCATAGCTTAAAGAATCAAGAAATAGTTCAATGTCAAGAAGAAAGCTTATCATATCACGACAATGATTTTAGTTATGGAGGTAATTTTCTCAGTTTGTAATTTAGAGTTCAATGGATGTGAATTGTTTCCAAAATTATCATGTGGAAAGATCGATCGGCTTTCTGTTTACTCATTCTTTATGTAGTAACTCTTTAAGAAGATTATTTATTTATTTATTTATTTATCCTTTTTACTTTTGTATATGGCTATGTTATTTGGAAGAATGTTATTCTTATAATTGATGTGGTTCATCCATTTTTGCATTTGAAGGAATTAGAGCTTCAAAAGAATTTGCTCTTGAAGTCTATATCAAAAGGTTCAAGAAACCTCATGTTTGTTTATCCTATGTCCCATTAGAAATCCTAATTTGATCTTCATTATTTGTTCATTTTTCTCCAACAAACATTCAGACTCTCCATATTTTGTAAATACCAATGCAGGCGTGTCATATCTTTGCATACGTTGGATGGTGAAATTCACAGGCTGCTGTGTCACATGATATAAGTGATTGTAAACGAACAAAGTTGGATTGTAATTCATTGCTATCTGCTTGCACTTTCATATTTTTTTTTTTTTTTTTTTTTTTTTATGATTTGGTGGTTTTTATTTGAGAATATTTTATATTACAATTGTCACAAATACTGTTAGCATAGCCAATGGCGAAACACGACCATTAAAAATAGGGGGCAAAGTCAAACTTCAAAACAAAAATATATAATAGACAAATTTAATTCAATTTAAAACCATGACATCAAATATCTTAACATGACATTGTGTTATCATTTCTTTTTCTTGGCACAACCTCCTTATCGTATGCATTTCTATGTTTGTTTTGTGAGTTTCGAAGATGGTTTCCACGTAAAACATTATATAAATGGTCTTTAATTTAGTAAGAAAACTGTTAAAGATATAAAAAAATAATTCACAACATTTACTCGTAAAACATTTTATAAATGGGTCTTTAATTTGGTGTGTTTATTTCATCGGGATCTAAAAGTGTGAAGTAAGATTAGTTTAGCAATGAAAAGTGAAATTCAATAAAAGTTGAAGGATTATTTATGATAAAAGATGCATTTTAAGGTTTAAAGAAAAAATATATAAAAGAACAGGGGACAAAGTTGGATATTTATGGATATATAAATTGAAAGTAACATCTTAGGTTAGTAGTTTTAGTCTCCCATATTATTAATATGCTAATGTTTAGTTAATATTTGTAGATATTAAAAAATAATTCTTGATTTTTTCTAATGCTAATCATATCACCCACCCATCTACATTTGTATGAGAGCCGTTAGCCGTGGTATTTTCTGGGTTTGGCTTTTTCCCCTTGTGTTTCTGTAGTTTAGATGTGAGATATGAAGCTTTCGTTTCCTTTTTTTCTCTACATTTGAAACGAAACAAAGAAACCTCTCTTCTCTATTATGTTTCTTTCTTCCTTACCAAATAATTTTTATTTGGAGATTTAGATTCAGTACTTAGAAGATCAGAAAACAGAGGGCGATGACCCCTCTAGGCCCCTTAAGGGTTCCCCGGTAAATACACAATTTACAAGTGAATAATTAACCTAAATATAAACACCCAAGGACCAAGACTAACAAATCGGTTAAAGAATCATCAAACTAAAATTCGGATATGGGCTTAAGCCTTTTCGTTTTGGGCTAACTGGAAGATGATGGGGGTAAGTAGAATTAAAAGGGATGTGGGCGGTGGGCTTATAGTTTCAAACATTCAATGATTCGATCCATGCACTTCAATTGAGTTACTTTCTATCCGATTTTTAAAAGTTTTAAGAATTTTAGAAATTAGAGTATATATGACCCCTCGAGCTTGTAATTGTTTGCCATCAATTAAAGTATCAAAACTAGTCGTGATTTGTCAAAATTGATGTTTTATTGATTATTTACCTAGCGTTTATGCCAAGGATTGATAAATATTGATGAAAAATGAATGCCATTAAAATGTTTTTTAATTAAATATAAGTATCGGTTGATCGAACTGAATATATGGAGAACTTAATCAAATGTTATGAAACATTCCTAAGTATAAATTCATAGCTTTAATCTTCATGAATTCAAATGTATTGAAGGGTTCAATTCTTAGAACACATTGATTCTCGAGTATTTAGAATGTGTAATGTAATAATATGAAAATTCAAGAGTTTTGATATTTTCATATATGGATAAGTTTGATCATATCTTATTTTTGTTTGTGTGGATTCATGGTTACACTAAAATTGGGGATGATTGTTGGTGAATTTAATGTCATCAGGTCATTTTAGTATAATGAAATTTACAAATTACTAGTGGAGTTCAATTCCTGATTATATTTACGAGTTAGGAGGTGCAAAGTGCACATTTGTGTAAAACGAGTTTGATTTCGGTTCGACCATAGCGGGGTCAAGGAGGTTGCGCTCCTATTGCGGGGTACTAGGTCGGCCCTCCGCCCAAAAATTTATTTTAGAGTAAATTACACCAATGGTTCCTATGGTTTGGGGTAATTTGTGCGCTTGGTCCCTAACTTATTTTTCTTTTAACTCGGAAGGTCCCTGCTGTTTGTTTTTGTTACGCGCTTGGTCCCTACTCTTTGTTTTTGTTACATGCTTGGTCATTTTCTTACATAAAAATACTATTATTTAAATAAAAAAAATTGTGGGGTAGGTAAGGAAAGGTGATGGCGGGTGGGGTTGGGGTGTGTTTTTTTAAATAAATTAAAAAATCAATGTCAAACTAGTCTTTTTTGGTAAGACATGGACCAAACGCGTAACAAAAACAAACAGTAGGGACCTTCCGAGTTAAAAAAAATAAGTTAGGGACCAAACACGCAAATTACCCTAAACCATAGGGACCATTCGTGTTATTTACTCTTTATTTTTACTAAAAAAAGTATTATGTAAAACATTATTTTTAGAATATATTTCTCATGATTATCTTAACTGCAATACCTTAATTAAGAGATAAAATCAACATAATATTGATTTTAATCTTTATCTTTGAATTCAAAAATCTATAAAATCATGATTTGTGATTTCATATCGGTGTCTTGATACAAAACTGTCACGGTAAGGTTATCCGCATAATTAAGATTTCATTTAATCCAAACATAGGATCGAAATGTTATATACGAAAAATATTCATACGATCCTTTAAATAGATCCAAAATTCATATCAATTTCAGAATCTGTTCTGCCAACCCCAACAAACATTTAATTATTGAAAAATGTAATAATATAATCATGATTTATTGGAAACTCCATCTTTTTTATATGCTTCTCAAAAGTAGCTTATTTCTAAATAACTAAAGTTAAAACTATTTTCTAATAATTTAGTTGCCAATATCATTGATAGAAGAAAGTCATAGACGTAACGGGTAAACAAACAAACTGTGTCACAACCCTTTTTTAGATGAGAAGAGTAATTCTTTTAAAAATAATATTGATAGATCTTGTGGTCATAACAAACATATGCATGACCTGTTGGACTTTATTTCCTTCAAAAAAAAATTATATATAAACCTATTTTTGGAAAAAAAAAATTAACTCTAAAAAATCTTATTGAAATTACATGTAAACCACTAGTTTATTAATTGAGTTATTCACAAAAATAAATATCATAGTACCATATTCTCATAAAACCATTTTTTTCAGAATTTTAATTAAATGAAACACAAATTCCGCTAAAAATTGCTCACCAATTTGCGGACTCGAAGAATATTTCCTTAAGAGCACCCATTATGGGTACACAAAACGCCGTTATTGTCTATGTGACACCCTCATAACATGGTCATAACACTATGAACACCATTTCCCCCTTGGTGTTATGGCATATCTTGTTGGCATTATGACATATTGAAACGGGAACATTGATTGGCTGCATATGTCATCTCTTTCTATTTTTCTCCTCTTAACGATGTTATAACACCATGAACACTATTTCCCCATGATGTTATAAGGTGTTATAACACCACCTCAACGGGTCGATACCTAATCCTCTAATGGATAAAGCGTAATTCTAAGTTAAGAAACAAAATTTTTTTAACTTTTGCAGGTCAAAACTTCAAAATATATACTTTTGTTTGATGAAAACAATACCTCCCCTTCTGCAGTTCACGTGTGATTTTGGCGGGAATGCTGACACGTCAGCTTCCAGATAAGCATCGCCAAGAGAAACCCTATTACTTTGCCATCGGCCTTTACAGTCTCCATCTTCACCCCATTCCTGACAACATTGTGGAAATGTATTCAACCAGAACTCGGTGGCCATTGTATATGGTCAGACCGACGAAACGCCTTCCCGCCGGCATCAACGAACCCATTGAACTCCCATACTCACCGCCTCGAAGCCCTAACTACCGCCCCGGCCGGCGATTTCTGTCACACCCCCAAACCGGAACGGTGGAAACGTTCGGGGGGCGGATGACTTCATGCGTAGTATCACAACAATTGTATCATAGCAATCATAGTAAACACAACCAAACATTGAATACATGTATGAAAAAGAAGTTTACATTTGTTTAAGTCTTGTATGAATACATCAAATGTGTAGATAAATATAAAGACATGACTTTATTCGCTCCGACTTCTCCCAACACTCCAGAAAGGTACATATTTACTGATTTCCTGAGAATACAAGCAGTTTTGAAAGAGTATCAGCATAAAGCTTGTGAGTTCATAAGCGGTGTTTGTATATTGAAAATCGGTTGATAACTCTGAAAAATGTTTGCATGACTCCAAGAAAATCCAATATTCTCTTTAGTAAAAGTGAGATAATCTTAGTAAAATGTTGTATGAACTTTGTATGAAAAACCTCTATATGAAATGTTATGTTTGAAAACCCTGGTTATTACCAGTATGTATAGTAGTTTAGTTCTCCTTGAGAAAACATGTATCTGTTCTTACTTATACCAAATAAGTATTGTTCATGTATACTTTATTATTACGTAAGTAAATCGTTGTTATCTACATTGTGAGTGTCATGACCATACTTTAACTTGATATGGCGCGAATCGGGCACCAGTATCTTTTATAACTTTGTCACCCGTAGACCTGCCGGTCCTACTGTAGCTAGCAGCAAGGTGTGGGATAGTCAGTCCCGTATAGATATATACACAACAGTCACGCTCTCCTTAGGGGAGATTCTGATCATAAGTGCTAGTCCTACACTCAGTTAAGTTTGTGAGTGTTACCAAGGACGTGTCTCCAACTAGACTAACAAATTTACAAGTAATAATGATGAAAACCCTTTTTTGTAAATAACTGAAAGGTGTATAAAGTATGAGCTTGTAAACTTGTCTAATGATTCCCCAAACTATACCTATTATAGTTTGTGTGTATGTATATGTATAACCTTGTATGAATTCCCAAACTACATCGAACTATAGTTTGTGTGTAAGTATGTATAACCTTGTGTGAATTCCCAAACTATATCGAACTATAGTTTGTGTGTACGTATTTGTATAACCTTGTATTGTTCTGAAAACTATGTAGTTAAGTTCGTACGTTTGAAAGCGTCCCTTATGCTCAGCATAATATAGAAGGGATAAAATATCTAGAATATTT